ATATTTCTGAGTGTTGGATAATATTTCTGAGTGTTGGATAATATTTCTGAGTGTTGGATAATATTTCTGAGTGTTGGATAATATTTCTGAGTGTTGGATAATATTTCTGAGTGTTGGATAATATTTCTGAGTGTTCAGGATGTGAAAGAGAGAAAAGGAAACTGTCCAAACCTTCTCGCTCTCAGTGTCCAGTGCAGAGGTGGCCTCGTCCAGCAGCAGCACTTTGGGGTTGCGGAGGATGGCCCGGGCTATGGCTACTCTCTGCTTCTGACCCCCGGACAGCTGAGTCCCCTTATCACCTGCCTGAGTGTCGTACTTCTGCTCAGACAGACACACAACACACAACATGACGAACACTGACGACAGCAGCTTCCTGCAGGCTAATCTCATTGTGACAGGGAAGTGTAATCATGGTTGTGTGGTTGCTCATCACTGCACAAAGTCTCCAGTTCAATGGAAACTAAAGTCAACATGTTTCTATGAGCAGGACAACATCTACAACAGATCAATGTTTCTTCATAGGGTACACATTTATCAGGTATCATCTCAGGTGTTTCTGAGCGTTGTCTCTACAGAACACTACCTGAGGCAGCTGATCGATGAAGCTGTGGATGTTGGCAGCTTTAGCAGCTGCCTGGATCTCCTCCATGGTCACGCTGCGGCTGTTGTCTCCGTAGGCGATGTTTTCAGCCAGAGAGCAGTCGAACAGCACCGGCTCCTGGGACACGATGCCGATCTGAGATCTGAGCCAGTTGATGTTCAGCTGCTTGATGTCCACATTGTCTATCAGCTGCAGGAGAGAAGAGGCTGCTTTACACCACAAGCCTTGTTCATCTCCTGTAGGAGTCTTCTTTCATTTCTGAAGGCTGACTGCAGCCTTTCCTCCAAAACCAGGTAACAGTTGAGTTACAGGTTTCACAGGAAGAATAAAACAACAAAAAACAGGTTAAAAGATGAAACTAAGCCAAGCCTACAGGAGGGAGACATGTCTGATTCTCTGCTGGACCTGAGCTTTCACCACCCGACTCCAGACGAGCAGCAGAGGATGGAGATGTTGGTCCAGCCTTACAAAGGTTGGACCTTCAACCACATCAATGTTTATGTTCAAGACAAGGATTCAAATTAGTTTGTTTAAGAAATATGAAAAAGAATAATGTGTACTCACACATTGTTCCAGGACAATTGTTTTTGTTACTTAAAGACTATTAGTATTGTTTATTTTGTCTTGTTTTCTTAAAAAGTGGCAGATATAAGATTTTTATTCTCTCCAAGCCTCTCATTCTACTTTTGATTTGTAGTTTTTCTATGTAAAATCTGTTTTGTTTTTAAATGAAATTAATAAACTTAAAAAACTTCAATGTGCATCAAGAGACACCACTGCCTTTTTTAAATCCATAAACTCAAACATACAAATCTAAGTTATGCATGAAATTATGTTGTTCCTCTCTTATTGTCCCATAAAAAAAGACATCTGGAAATAAAAAAACCCAAAACATTAAAACATTAGTCTTTTATTCTGGTGTAATTTATTTTATTTCAGATCATTACCAGACGAGTTTCTTTTGTCTTTTAGCCAAGATACTATATATATA